GACTTTGTAGAAAACGAAGCGTTTGAGAGAGGCGGGGCATAGAGGACCTACAATAATGTACAGTATTTGAAAAAGAATGTGTTTTTTGAACATTAAAGCATGTCAACATATTCTGTTACACCAAATACACACAATAATGATCTTTAAAAAAGCATCATATGACCCCTTTAAGAAGTTATTTGCTAGTAACTTGTGTAAATAAGACTCGGCACTGAGTTAATGTCAAGGTGAGCATGTTTTGTTAACGAATACCAGGAAAGACTCTTTTGGTTTGCACTTTGAAAGAGCATTTGCTGTTATTTTTTTCAGAAGTGCAGATGGTGCAGACAGTAGATTATGCACATGTTAAGGAAAACACAATGCGGTCGTGCATTACAAATATGTTAATATTCGAACTGATTGAATTTTTCCCTGAATACCCTTGAATTCTGATCTCTGTAGGGGGAATGGCACACATAGTAGTGTAATGGTCCTTGAAAGTGCCAAATGATTCAAATAATTTCTTCCAGCGCTTTGAATGGGCCACCTGCTATAGACAGAATTGTGTTAGCTTTCCCTCTCTTCTTTGGTTTTTAGTGCACATGCAGAACACGGGTGACAATCTGCAGCAATCACATGCATTTTTCCATCTAAAAGTATTACAGAAAGTTGAATTGATACTTGATGCATTTCAAGCAGAACACAAATGATGCACTGCATTTAGAGGCTGTGAATAACTGGTTTGATTCATACATTGGTCTACCTGTAATGCTGCATAAACTAACCAGTTCTGAGACCCAAAACCCCTTTTTTTTTTGGGTGCAATCTGTTACTGATCTTATGAACAGATAACACAGGGCTATGCTAACCATGGTTAACAAGTCAGGTTGCATTTACAGGGTTACATTTCCTACCAATTTCATATTTGTATGATAGATAGATAGACAGACAGACAGGCAAATAAATAAATGCAATAGATTAAAATTGCATACTGTGTTGTGAATGTACATGGTAAAAAATACATATAAATCAGTCAATTTTCTGATAAGATCTTTTTGAAAAGAGAGAGAGAGAGAGAGAGAGAGAGAGAATCCTTACTAGAACTGAGAATCCTTAATAGAACTTAAATAAAATTGTCCAACAAGATATGTTGAAGTGAAAGAGGGATCTGCAGCACATAAATTTGGATCACAGCACATTTATTTTTTTCTTGTTTTAGTAATACCGGTTACAATTTATTTTAAGGTGTCCTTGTTCCTGTGTAATTATACATATATGTACTTACTACATGGTTAGGGTTAGGATTAGGGTTTGGTTTAGGGTTACTTGCATGTAATTATATATAATTAATTGTTATTATAATAGTAAGTACATGTAACATATGTAACAAGGACACCTTAAAATAAAGTGTTAAGGGGGTCGCACACCGGACGAGAAGCGCAGCGCCGCGCCACGTCTTTAAAATTCGTACACATTGTTTTCTATGAGAGTACGCACACTGGCGGCGCCATTCGGCATCTCTCTGCGGCGCCCAGCTACGACTCAGGACGCTGTTCAAATTACTGCCGCGCCACAGAGCGCCATCTGCATAGTTTTATATTAAATAACATCATATTTGTCTCAAATCGTTGTTAATACATTATACCAAGATACCACTTCTTCAAAATACTACATACATAAGTTTTACAGCTTGAATCAAATGTAAACATGTAGAATTAAATGTATAATAAACGTAGTCCTTTTAATCTTTTATTTTTCTCTTGAGACATTTTTACATACGCAAAATATTACAGTATTGGCTTATGTAACAATTGCCTGTTGTGATTACATTCACTGTCGTCGGCTGCCACCTACTGGATTTACCAGGTCACAACCGCCACAACACACTTCAGGTAATTTAAATAGAGTAACATTAACGGACCGTAATGGACGACGAAAAACTAATCAACGAAGTAGATTAGATCTGGGAAATACCCAGAATTATATGCAACAAACCATAGATTCTTCAAAGACAACATAAGGAAGTCATCAGCATGGAGGAAGATTGCCGAAGTCATCGGTTTTTCAGGTAAGAATGTCTAATTTACGATCTGAGGTAAAATGTTGAGTGACAGACGTTAGCAACAACTGTATATAATTGTACAGTACAATCATAAAATAACGTACAGTAAAGACATTGTCTTAATTTCATAATGTCCTTAAAAATGACAATAATGTTGACCACAAACTGACAATTATGTTATTTTAAGTAAACAAATCCTCGTGTTGAATTAAGAGAAACTACCTCAACAAGAATATGATTATAATTGAAGTTAACAAAGAAATAAGCATACCTTACACAAAAAATATGTAGCATCTTTGTTTTTATTGAGCAAACAAATCAATATTAGTAGCTACAGTATAAGAAATGTTGAAATTGCTTATAATAATACAAAACAATACTAATAATTGATGAATGGCAATCTAGCCTAATATGAATGCTAATGATAATCATAGACTAAATTATGAGCTAAGCAGGAATAAGATATCTAGGAAGTGATCAAATCTAATATCAATTAAATTATTAAAGTAAAGTCAGTAAGGCAACACTATAGTGACCATTACACCATTTCATTCTGCCAAGATACATGTCCTTCAGAGTTGAAAAAAGAGCAGAATTTATCTCGAACAGTGTAGGCCTCCCTTGCACCACGAGGTCCACCAGCAGTAGAGATGCTCTCCATTGATCCAGTAGTTGGAGCACTGGTATTTAGCCACCTCTCTACTTCCATTGGCTTGAGAAGAAAGTTGTGCAGGAGGCATGCTGACAAAATAAGGCTGTTTATTTTGTCAGGGTGTATGTTGATCCTGCTATGCAGGATCCTCCAGCGAGATGACAAAATGCCAAAGGCATTTTCCACCACATTGCGCACTCGAGACAATCTGTTGAAGATGCGTTGTTGTGTGGATATGTCTCGACCAGGGTAAGGCCGCATCACGTAGGTTTTTAATGGGAATGCTGCATCCCCAACAATGGTGAATGGCATGTTCCCCAGGTGCTCTGCTCCTGGTAGCTGCTGATCATCTGGCACCTCCAGCTTTTTTGCATCCAATGCCTGCCCTATGGCTGAGCCAGCAAAGACACCCCCATCACTTGACCGTCCATACTCTCCAATATGGACTAGACGGAAGCGATATTCAGCATCGACCACAGCCAATAATACTACAGAGAATGTTTTTTTGTAATTAAAGTAAAGGCTGCCTGAATGAGGTGGTGCAAAGAGGAGGATGTGCTTCCCATCTATCGCTCCTATGCAGTTAGGGAAATTCCACCTAGTTGAAAACTTTGAAGCAATATTCCTCCACTCCTGCTCAGTAGGTCTTGCTAGGTGTGTATCCATCATGCGCCTGTTAATTGCAGCACATGTGTCCTTGATGGCTTTAGCCACTGTGCTCTCCCCCATACGATAGTGGAAGGCAAGCGTTCTGACTGAATTTCCTGAGGCCAGATACCTGTAAAACAAACATTAATATACAAATTAATTTCTATCTCTTCACAGAAAATGAATGCAGGACAAGAATGGAAGTCACTTCGAGACAACTACATTAAGTGGAAAAAAAGACAGCAGTTGACAAGTGGCTCTGGAGCAGTGCGTCAACAGGAATGGAAATATGCTGCTGCAATTTCCTTCCTGAATGTATTTCTACAAAATAGAAGGTAATATGTGTAGTTATGTAGTAATTGTAGTAATTTGTAGTAATGCACTTCAAATTAACTTTGTAATAAAGAGTGCATATGACTAAAGTATGACTTGAAGTAGACTTTTAAAGGGATAGATCACCCAAAAATGAAAATTATATCATTAATCACTCACCCTCATGTCGTTTCATCAAAAATATTTTAATTTGTGTTCCAAAGATTAACAAAGGTCTTACGGGGTTGGAATGACATGAGGGTGAGTAATTAATGACAGAATTTTCATTTTTGGGTGAACTATCCCTTTAATGGTAGTAAAAAATTTGCCCCTCTGTCTTTTCCCCAGTACAATCAGTAATGTGGATTTCGAAAACTATATGAATGAGTCGATCCATGAAGGTGATTTAGACACACGAATGACTTCAGAAGAGGAAAGACCAGTACCGGAGACAGCACGGAATGAAAGAGAAGAAGTTCTAGAACGGCCCCAGAGACCCAGAAAAAAAAGAAGAGACAACCCAAAAAGTCCGAACACACAAATTAATGAAAAACTTATGGACTTTTTAGTAACACCAACAGTGCCACCAAAACAACATGATGAAACTGAGCTTTTCCTTCTAAGTTTAGCACCTCAAATGAGATCTCTGGGAAAAAGAGAACAAACCAGAGCCAAAATAGAGATGCTACGTATCCTGGATGATCTGGATGCGCAGAGTCAGGCACATCATGGGCCAGGTGTGCCTAGTTACCACACAGGACCACCACTGTTTGCTAGCTGGAATGCTCCACATTAAAATATTGTGGCACCCTCAGCTTCCTCAACATATCTTGTGCCATATTCATAGTTATAGTTCAATGAGATGTAATATATTTGTTTATTTATATTTATAGTTATAATTCAATGAGATGTAATTGATTTATTTGTCTGTCTGTCTGTCAGTTTTGCTTGCTTGCTTGGTTGATTGATTTGGAAATTGTTTTCTAATTCTGTTTTATGTTTTAGATTACATAACTGATACTGTTACTGCAATTATTTTTATTAAAAGTCTCCATGTGTACATTACTGTGCTATCTTGTCATATGGCTCACATGGTAAAATCCATTTAATTAATTATTGTTTTGAAATCATTTCTTCTTTCTTCCAACAGCATAATATTATTACAGTGTAAATCAGATATACAAATAGGTTAAATAGAAAATTGCTTACCTCAATGTCACTGAAAGTTTTTCCTTTGGCCCAATTGGTGTCCGGTAATTTATAGACATCCCTGTGATGTCAGGTCCAGTAATTGACAGCAGGTCCTCTATTTGCTGTGTACTCATTCTGAAGTACTGCAGGAGCTTTTCCGGGCTTATTCGCAGCTCCTGAACAAGGTGGTGGTAAGTGCCAAATTGTGTCCTTTTTTTCATTTAGAGGGTGTACCCAAATGCGATTGACACTTTTGTTTTTTTTTTGTATTCTTCGACGTAAAAGTAGCAGTGCAGTAGTTTTACTAGATATTTATATCTAGGACTATACAAACATTCAATGGCCACACCATGGTATTATCTATGATTTTCTTTATTTTCATCAGATCAGATTATTATTTTGTATATTGTGCATTATTTAGAAGTGAATATTCTTTATTACCATTCAATTAAAAATATTTAAAAACAGATATTATAAACTGAAACCTAAACTAAAATACAGTACATTTGTTTCATTGAAATAAAAACTTTACAAGGTGTTTGGTTACGTTTTCACTCAGGCTGGCTAGCTAATGTTAGCTATTGCTACTATGTAACATAGTTGCCTAGACAACAGATACAACAAACCAATAACAGACTTATCATAACACAGATTATTTTCACTGATTAACATTCAAAACTCAGCTATTAACAATTAAAATAATATATTTAAAGTAATGATAATAAATTAAGTTAAAACTCACCCATCTTGCAGCTGAGAACTTGATTCGAAATTGAGCTCGCGCATATAGAATGTGTGTGTCCGGTGTGCGATACCTCGAGTTGTCCTATACGGGGCGCTGCGCTTCTCGTCCGGTGTGCGACCCCCTTAAGGCAGCATTTCTTTCATCTGCTGATTTTTTTAACTAATTTTCCTGGTTTGTATGCTTCTAACATCTCTTACTGAATCCTGAAATAAAAACAGTAATTGAAGCATTCTTTAAACAATGATTTTGTCACTCTTCCAGACATGGTGTTCAGAACAAAAACAGGTCCAGATGTGGAAGAGAACAAGATGTAATATCTGCTCATGAAGAAGCAGTTGGCTAAGGAATATCCACACACACAGATATGATGACCTGGTGCTTCTAGCGTGTAGTTTCTCATGAAATATGATGCGTGTAACCACATTTTTCTTCTAGTAAATCAACGGTGAAACTACTTCAAGGACAAAGGCATGATGCATGTGTTCCAGTCTGATGAGGAGAGATTGGAAATGTCTTACTACAGAGATCTCTGATGGGCGCTGTGTTCACTGCTGTCCTTGGATTTGCCATTAATCCGAATCTGTTTCTTTAACGAATGTTTGGACGGACACTGACCCCAACAGAAAGACAAACACTGCGATCAGCCCAAGCAGCCCAGCTCCTTTAGAAATTACTGGTTTATACAAATGCAAAACCTGCACTAGTAATGCTAAAAATATGACCAGTATTGTATATACACAGCATAATAACTGTAATAAATCACTATAATCATTTTTGTTGAAAAGTCATTGTTTATATATTACACAAACCAGGTTGTATTGCATAATTGTATATTATCCAGTGGAATTAGGTGTTTTACAAATTAAAGGTATTTCATCTTATTTAATTGTCCTGTTTTAGTTGTACCTTTATGGACTAGTCATAACAAATTAATTTGCAAAAACAGCTTCATTTCAATTACAAACAAAGGCTAATTTGGAAAAAAAACAATACTATTGAACAGATTATTTATAACAAATTAATAAGTCTGACATCAATGCAAAAGCAGCTTCACAATACAAACAAGAGGCTGTTTTTTTTTTTTTTTAATAAAAGAAGATCATACTATGAAACACATAATTTTGAGTTTAAATTCAGATTGGATGAGCCACAATTGGCCGGTACTTCTACTGTTAGTGTTATCTGTATGCACCAAGGGTCTGAGAGTAACGCAATTTCAATTCTCTGTGTGTGTGCTGTACATGTGGAAGAATTGACAATAAAGCAGACTTGACTTGACTTGACACATTGTACAAATGACACATCTGTGACACACATCAGCTGAATACTGTATTAGCGTGGTAAGCTGTGTCATAGATCACCAAACAGCATAACTGAATTCCTCTTTGCTTTGCACACTTTCATAAGAAGATCCTAGTCACATTCTGTATGTTTTTTCATCACTCTCAGGTGTTAATAGCATGCAACAGTCTTGACCACTAACAGCTGTGCAAATGAATGAGCCCCATGTAAAATATGTGCTTAGGGAGCAGTCGTGGCCTAATGGTTAGAGAGTCGGACTTGTAACCCAAAGGTCGCAGGTTCAAGACTCCATATTGGCAGGGATTGTAGGTGGGGTGAATGTACAGCGCTCTCTTCCACCGTCAATACCACAACTGAGATGAGATATTACGGTAGTGCACCTGATGAGCTCCTACATCTGAGTTAGGCACTCAGTATTACGAAACATCATACATTCAAGCACAAACAAAATACGGAAGCAGATTCATGTTGTTCTGTTGAAGAACAACAGAACAACATGAACATGTTGTTCATTCAAAATGAATCAACAATAAACAATGGAAATATATAGAGTTCTGGCATGAAACTCTAGATGGCGCAGTCTGATAGGTCTAGCTCAATCTGACCTGGCGACATCATTGTCACATGGCAGCTGATTGGTTCTCTTCTGTATTGGTAGCCAATGAGCTCGCTGCTCAATATTCAAATACCTGGCTTTTGTTTGCTGTAGCAGTTGGTAGCACACTTCAGAAACCATCCACCTTCCCCAGCTCCACCTGTATAGATCTGCTACGGGGTGATTCATGTATGCTATATGGGGGTTATTCATATGTGTTATATGTGCAGCAGCAGTATTTCTTACATGTTTACAGCAGCATGTTGTGGATGTATTGACAGTATCAAGTCTCGGTACTTGCTCTGCCACAGCAGCAGCAGCAGCAGCGTAGCAGATCTATTCCACCAAGACCAAATACATTAACATTTTCATGTACATTACCATGCCAATCCCTCCGAGAGTTGTCATGTCAGAACTTATTTTAATTATAAAATTATCGTTATTTTATCATATTTGATCATTTTTAATTTTAACACTAGGCAACATATTATAAACCTGTATGGTGGAATTTTACTATCATTAAAGTTTAAAATATAACCCATGAATGAAACATGCTGTAATAGGTTTAAAATGCTACAGCATAAAACATATTTATTGCAAACTATTTTGTGTGCGACTAAGTTGCTATTATATTGATAGCTGTAGTGTAATGCATGCTTGTGTTAAAAAAATGTTTGTTACATTACATTTCAAGTCATTATGTTTTAATCTTTTGTCATGTTTTAAAGAAGTAGGCCTACACTTATTTCGATATGTTGACTAACATACTAAAGCGGATGTAAAGTACTTGTTTATAATGCTGACATTACATTTAAAGATAATAAGGGGTAATGTCGTACATCCAGCTGGTTGACGGTTCACGTCGGTGTCCTGATCACACTGTCAGGGGTTATTCTGCGATAACAACCGGATGGATGTACATTATCCCGCTTATTACATGGCTACTTGCCACATAAGTAAATAATTTAGACACAAAGTATTGATTTGAGTTGAAATATTTGAACGCAAAAAAAGCAGTTGCTTGCAAGCGGCACATTCAAACCAGACAGACATTTAAGGGATACATTACAGTAAACGACTTATTACACGGCATTTCACCACATTAGTGTTGTGAAAAGTACCGATGTCGGTACCAGTCGGTACTAAAAGTTAAAAAATGTGACGATGCCAGCATTTCCTGCTAGCATCTTAAGCGCTGTTGAGCTCTGATTGGCCATTGTGTTCTTGTGCTCAACAGATATGTCTGTGATTGGCTACAATGATCATCGCTTTACACTCTTCAATGAACGCTTACACAGATACACATGGAAGCGTTTGAAAGCCGCATCTATCAGTGGATACATTTATGAGCAGATATATTAGGGATCCACTGATAGGCCACCTGAGCAAAAATGTTCTTTATACCAGACCTGTGCAGCACACACAAAAAAGTGTGTAACTTTAAACTGTAATGTGCTATTTATATATAATTTGACCCTTGATATAGCATATTTTAGATGATTTCAGCATCAGAAACAAGCACAAAGCTGCTTACGCTTGCAACACATGCCCTCATGTCTCAGTCTTTCCTCCTGTTACTTCTAATCATTTTCCTTTTCAACCAGCTGATGTGCTGCTTGGCTGGCTAGCTGTTTCAATACTTACTACTTATTGTGTGGTTAAGAGGAAAAGCATGTATTTTCGTCATTTTATGATGTTGTCAAAGTCATCATATTTCTCCTGCTACTTCTAACCTCTCTTCCTTTTCAGTGGTCTCCAGCTCCCGTAGCACACACTAGCGTGAGGCTGCCTCTGCAAGCTGTGCAGGCTGCACAGGCTCTCCAGCATTTTCCCCCGAATATCACAAGCCCCCGTGGCCGACAGCTACAGCAGCTGAAACAAGCGCAAAGCTGCTTACGCTTGCAACACATGCCCTCACATCTCAGTCTTTCCTCCAGTTACTTCTAATCCTTTTTCCTTTTCAGTGGCCTTCAGTTGCCATAGCACACACTAGCGTGAGGCTGCCTCTGCTAGCTGTGCAGGCTGCAAAGGCTCTACAGGATGTCACAAACCCCACTCCCTTACCGTGGCCTACAGCAGCTGAAGGAAGCATGAGGCTGCCTCCGTTTGCAACTCAGGCCCACACATCTTGGGCTTTTCCTCCCGTTTCTAATCCTAACTTAACACCTGTAAGAACCTCCAAGCCCGGTCAATCAAAGGTTATCTAAGCAGCATCCAATTTTTTTCACAAATTAATCTACGGTGCCCCCTCTCCTGAAATAAACAATTCTCAAACATCTCTTTTGATCAAAGGAATTCAGTGCTCTCATCCTCCAAACCCAGATGCTAGACAGCCGATAACTTTCGACATTCTTTCTAAATGTATCCACATTCTCCGCACAGGGTACCACTCACTTCATACCACTCGTAGACCCGACGCCATGTTCATACTGGCTTTTTGTGGTTTCCTGCAACTCAGGCCCACACATCTTGGGCTTTTCCTCCCGTTTCTAATGACCCCTTTTTTCTTTTCAGTGGCCTCCAGCTCCCATAGTAGACACTAACCCGGAAGCCGATTTATATGTCAGGCTGCCTCTGCT